GACTCCCACAGGAAATCTCTCATTATCTTCTCTAATCTGTTAGCAATCTTCACTGGGATTTTAAACACCGACATGAAAAAGATGGGTAAGTTAGCAAGTGTGGCCTTAATTAGTGTAATTCTCCCACCAAGAGAGAGGTAGTTCTTTTTCCAGGATACCAATCTTCTTTCAAACCTTTCCATCACCGGGTTCCAGAAACTTTCTCTCTTGGGATTAATTAGTGTAATTCTCCCACCAACATGAATAGTATAATTTTACATTAAACATTTAGTTTTTAATTATATATCTTGTATGAGTAATAAAATAATTGTTGAGAAAGAAAACACAATTAATGTAAAATAATAAGTCAATGCAAACAGCAATAAACAATTAAAATAAACAACATTATGCTAAATTATTAGCAATAGTTACAATTTATGCCCAAAACTTCTCCAGGGTACAACATTCTTTAATCACATATTGAGAAAGAGAAGACTACCCTCAGGTGTTGTAATGGTGTCTCTGTCCAAATCACCTAATGGGCTTACCATAGTCAACTGAACCTATTCAGATTGATATCTACATATGGCCAGATTACATGTAACCCATCTACCCTATCTGTACATTATCAAAATATCCCCCAGAACAACTGATTCCTGTAAATCCTTTCCTTTGCCAAAGCATCAACAAAGTCATTTGCTGATCCATGTATCCATGAGAATGTAGTTCTTAGTTCTTTTGTCATGTTCCCATACTGTCCTTCTAAGTGCCATGTTCCCATACTGTCATTCTTTGTCCAACCAAGTGCAACCTTTGAGTCTCCTTCAACTATTAAGGTTGTGATATTAAGAAACTTCCCAATCTTAGCCTGTTCTTTCTATTGTTTCATTCATCCATTTTTAATAAAGCATGAAATTGTTGTAATTGATGTCAATTATTTTCAATGACAAATAATTGAATGAAATTCTGTGGCCAATTTTAAAGGAAAGGTTGCATCTCGTGCCTTTCCGTGGGGTTACCTGTAACTCTTATTCGCTGGATTAATAAAATCTTACTTTTTTATCAAAAAAAAAATTGTTGTAATTGATGTCCTTCCCATGATAGCTTCAAAAAATAATGATGTCCTTCCTATGTTCTCTTAATATTGGACATGTCTACTAGCCAAAATAAATAGAGAATATTTACAGAATGAATAATAAGCAATATCACATGACTGACCAATGTATTAATTTTTTCTTTGTGCCAAAACCTAAAAACAAGTTTTAAACTTACACAAGCCAATGGGTTGAGACAAATCATTGACATCAACAGCCACCTTCTATGCTTTGACCACACAGCTGGACAGAGAGAATGCATTCCATTCTGTGAAATACAAAAACAATGTCTCAACATTAATCAAGGCAAGTGATGCAAGAAATCATTCATATCCCAGATCAGGCCTTGGCAAACTAACCAATAATTATAATATTGGAGAAGGGAGTCCATGACCTAACAAAACAGAGTAAAGAAAAAGAAGGAAGGGGTTGATATATATAGTAACACATTTTATTAATATGAAGAGAAGGCAAGGTACACAAATAGCAACCCATAGGTAGATAAGTTCATCTCACCCAGAAGAAAAAAAGTAATTACAATTGAACCAAGAATATCTGTTCCCTGTTTGCCCTTACTTGGCCAAAGTGTCAGCCAAGTCATTTGCCGACCTGGGTACCCACTTATAGCTTATCACCAAAGTCCTTGTTGACCATTCAATTTGCTTTAACACATTTCTAATTCTTTATAGCTCCAAACTGCTGTCTTCTATTCCAAGTGTGAAGTTAATGAGGCATTAAGAGTTCTCTTCCCTGTTTTACTCTTGTCTCAATGTAAACAATCTCTATTAGACACAAAGTATCTAAACCCCCCAAAGTATTACATCTGAGCCAAAGACAGACCGTCTCTCCTTCCTCTTTCTACATCTTTACTATAGTTATTATTAGTTTTTTGGTAATAAATAAAAAGGAAAATTTTTAAGAACTAAAGAAGAGATTACAAAACAGGTGACAAGACATTATCCACAGAAAAATAAAAAACTCAGACCCCAAAAAACCCAAGAACCTCCTACCCCTTTGCACACATACTTTTTCCCCAGCAGATCTCCAATGACAAAAACCCCAAGACCACACAAGAGACCCAAACTCTCCTCCTGCACCCCAGACCCCAGACGCGTCCCATTCAGCATCCACCTCATAATCAAACCTCTGCACTAGATCTATTAACACCCAAACTATTCTTCTTTTCCAGCTCCAAAAAGATTTCTCTTGCAAATTCTTCCCCACCCAAGAAAAAGAGCCCCAATATTTTGCATATTTGAACTTCTGTTTTAACAATCTTTTCCAAATCAAGTTTTTTTTTGGCTATCCTCCTCACTTGATCTAAAGTCAGCTTATCATTTTCCTCTTCCCCTTTTGAAACGTTTCCCTCATCTTCACTCTCTACCCCCAACAGCTCTTCCTCTCTCATTTTAAATCAATCTTCTTGAACATCAGAATTTATTCCTTTCTTCATCTTCTCCACTTTTCCCTTCGAATTATCTGGAGAGCTACTCCTAATGTTTCTCTATTATTTATTTATGACCTTCTCCCCTTCCTCTTATAGACCCTCTTGAATTTATTACAAGGATCTGCTCCTAAAAGACCATCTTTCAACCAATAAAAAACTTCAGTAACATGAACTAGGCGACCATTATTTAACCCTTTGGGTTTTCTCAAGTTCGCCAAAGGTTTGTCACCTTCTCTGGCCCTGCAGTCATGCTTGTAACCCTTTTGCACCCCAAATCCACCCCCAAGTTTCCACAATCACTTCAATAGCAGTCCCAGAAACCATCATTTCCGCATCTCCACTCAAACCTTCAATTTCTTTGGACTTCTCAGGGCCTTCTTTTCCCCACCTTGGCAATGTAAATCTTCCACTCTCAGAAGAGTCAACTCCAATAGCTTCAGAGGCATCCCCCACCTGAAGAGAATCTTTCCCTAAATTGATCTCATTCATACTCAGAACATCTGCAACATTGTCTTGCTTTTCCGACCTTGTTGTATCAACATTATCTGGCATTGCCTCTTCAATTGTACAACCTGAAGTGACATTCTCCAAGCAGTCCATTGCCAAATCTCCAATAACCGATACAAAACCCAACTTCAGTCCTTTACCAAAAACATCTTTACTTGCGGTTGATCAATTACCTCTTTTGATGCTGTAAGAATAGAACTCTTAGCTCTATTCACCTTCAAAACCTCCTGCAAATCCTCTTAGCTTACCGACACTTATCCCATTGTCTTCCTTCAAAACCTTTTCATCATGTTGAACAAGCCTAGTAACCACTACGGGTGGCAATTTTTCAACCCAACCTGCTAACCCGCCCAACCCAACCATTAATTGGTGGGTTGGGTTGTATCCATTTAGTCCCGGGTCTGGTGGGTTGGGCAACCCAATAAGGGAGAGGCTTAATGGTTTGGGTGGGTTGGGTCATGGTTATCCAACGGATAACCCATTAGCCTCTTCATATTTCCATAGGCACTCTCTTTATCGGTCTATCCTCATTTGTCTTTTCTAGTAAACAAATACCAACATTTTAAAAACGACCCGGAAACGGAACCGTTATGGCCATCGGTTTCCGGGTCGACAATCCGATCGTCCAGTTAAGGACGGCCCGTTCTGACAAACAAATTTAAAAAAATAAAAAAACAGTCAAAGCCGTTGAACAAGTTGACGGGTCGACCACCTGGGTCAACGGGTTGTTGACTTTTTCAATTGTTTTGGCCAAAAACCAGGTTTGGGGTAAAATGAAACCGCTTGCCTGGACGGTTCCCGGGCCGAAAGATCCGACCGTCCGAGTCAATGGCGGTTCGAAAACCTTGGGAGAAAAGAAATCATCAATGTTTTCGAACCGCCATTGACCCGGACGGTCAGACCGTTTGGCACGGGAACCGTCCAAGCAAGCGGTTCCATTTTACCCCAAACCCGGTTTTTGGCCAAAAAACGTTGACCCGGGCAGTCAAACCGTCGATCCGTTAAATGGTTTTTGACCATTCCTTATTTTTAATTATTTTTTTTTATTTTTTTAATTTGTTTGTCAAAGCGGGTCGTTCGTTCGAACCGAACAGTTGGACTATCGATCTAGAAACCGGTGGCTAGAACGGTTCCATTTTCGAGTCATTTTTTAAAACGTTGTTTTCTCCTATGATTTGTAATTGTAAATGGTGATCAAATCGATTAAGGAAACAACATCAATGGCTCTCTCGAAGCGGTAGCAAAGCCCTATCTTTTTTTCTGATTCATTTGTTTCATCATTCACTTCTTAGTAGATGCTCAACAAACTGAAAAATTCAGAGGGCGCAGAGATATACTCAAGGGTTTGGGCTGAGTGTTGTAATTGTTTGCATTGGGAATGATGAGGTACATGAGCTCCCACTCCAATGTCATTGCCAATTGCGATGAAATACTCAATATGAGCCCCTTCACCTATATAAATCTGGTTTCTGCATATTCATGTTTTTGTTTTTTGTGTAGCTTTTTGTTATTTTTCTATAATTTCTCCTTTCTTCATTTTTTTATGTTTTCTATAATTTTTGTTATATTATTTTACAATTTTGTTATTTTTATGTCGTTTCTGCTTTCTTTTTTTTTTGTAATTTCTAATAGTTTTCTACAGTTTTCGTGTTGTAATTTTCACAGTAATATTGTTTTTTCCAAGGTTTTCGAACCGCCGTTGACCCGGATGGTCGGACCGTTCGGCCTAGGAACCGTCCAGACAAGCGGTTCTGTTTTACCACAAACCCAGTTTTTGGCAAAAAACCATTGAAAAAGTTAACAACCCATTGACCCGGGCAGTCGAGTCGTCAACCCGTTCAACGGTTTTTGACCATTTTTTTATTTTAAATTATTTTTTAATTTGTTTGTCAGAACGGGTTGTCTGCTCGAACCAGACGATTGGACCGTCAACCCGAAAACTGGTGGCCAAAACGGTTCCATTTCCGGGTCATTTTTTAAAACGTTGGTTTTTCAAAAATGAAAGTTGCATATTTTTTCAACTTTTTATGTAATTTCTATTAATTCTATGCATTCTTGTGTTTTTGTTTAATTTCTATTTTATTTCACGTAATTTCTATTATTTTTGTGTAATTTTCATTATTTTATCTAAATGGATTGGGTTGGATTGGGTTCAGGTGGGTTCGGGTTGAACCCAACCCATTTAATTCTATCTAATTGGGTCATTAATGGGTTGGCACCTCTAGTAACCGAACCAAACCCAACCCGCCCAATTGCCACCTCTAGTAACCACCCAATCCCACATGTCAAGAGGATTTGTAGTTATTATTAATAAAATCTTGTTTGTACCAATGAGGAAAAAAAATAACATAAGGGCATCTATTGGAGAGTTTAGAGATAAAGATTAACATTCATGAGGTCATACAAAGTAAAAGGCCTTCTTTGTCCCATTCCATATGTGTGTGATTCGCAACATGGGTTGCAAAACCACTTATAACTTACTAATCTCCTATTCTGTTGTTCTAGGAATTTGGTAGAATTTCTTATAAGTGATGCCAAGTTAATGCCACCAGATAAGATAAAAGACTATCTAGATAAAGGCTTGAAGGCTGCTTTCCTTTGTCAGTATGGTAAAGGGGAATTCCTAAACTTTCACTGATAAGAAGCAGACTCAAGAATCATTGATATATTTCATATCTATTGTGGCTCTCGGGGTCCATACAAGAGAAGATCTCAAACATCAGGGAGGGAGGTTGGTCCTATGTAGCTTCTTCATCATTAGTAGAACCATGACCATTTGGAATCATTCTGCACCCCAAAAGAATATGTCATTAAACTGTAATCTGGCTGCTCCAGACCATTCAAGAGGGGCAGGAGTCCTTTCAGAAATCATGTGGGAGATATTATTCAGGTTTATCTGTTCCTATATGCACTAGAAATTTCATACAAGCTGAACTTATGTCTTTGATTCAGAGGTAGGGATAAAATACTTCTTTATGTGATGTGACAACAGGATAGAAGTTTAGGAGGATTCATAAGTGGTAATTGGTAGATATAGAATGGGTTTACTAGCCCTTGGCTCCTATTTCATCTGAATACGGTGGCTAAATCTTTGGCATCAAGAATGAACATCTCTTTCAATTACGTAATGCTCCACAGAATCACTAGTCAAAGAAGATGTAAATTTGGCAAAGTTGTTTTGAGGATCACCCATATTGGGCAAATTTGGCAAAGTTGTTTTTGTATTTTTGTACCTGGTAGTGGATGGCTAGTTCCATCCTATTTCACCTCCCCTTCTGAAAGTTATTTTGGCTTAGCTGTAATGTATTGTTTTGGCATTCTTAACTTTAATCAGGCTCCTTTATCTAGTTAGAGGTCAAAAAGAAAATAAATGTATTCAAGCAATACTTCATCATGAAACTATAATGACCTCAAGAAACAAGATTATGAAATGGCAAAATGTTTCTAAACGAAAAGAAAATTGTTTAAGAGCACACAAAAACAGATGACTGCAAAGCAATACATATTAGAAGGGGGTAATAACATGCAATGATTTGGGGAAAATTGCAGGTGTCACTATCAGCAACATTTTCCACAGAACACAACTTAATATCTCCATGTCCTTAAGTATCTTAGTAATGCTCTCATCATGGTAGTTACCTATGGTGGGTAACCCCAATTTGGCCAATAAGAAAAAGTAAAACATCCTTACCTTCCGATCATAACCATACCAAAGCAAGTGTTGCTTTGATAGATGAACTGGCAATAAAAGTGTTGTATCACGTACAAAAAGGACTGGTCCAAGCTGAACAAGGAAAAGTGGGGAATTCTCATTTCCAGAAGTGGAACCCCCATGCGATGCCTCTACTCTCCACAAGTCCCCCCTTGCAACAACAGAACTTTCAACATCATGTGTTCTACTGTCATATGTTGATGTAATATTAATGGTCCCCTAGACTCAAAAGTAAAATGAATCAGTTCTTGAAAATTATATTGAAAAACAGCTAGTTAAACAAGTTTTTCAAATCACTTCACTGACAAAAGAAATCCAACTTCTACAGCCAACAGATTATTATATGCAAGTTTTCTTCAAAAACATTTATTAGCAAAACATCATAATAAGAAATTTGACAGGCAAATATGCAGGATAGATGATGTTTCATATCATACAAAATGCCAAAAAGAAATAATAGATAGATGTAACAGCCACAAGCCAAAAATTGCCCAACTAAATATTATAGGATTGTGGTGGTACATTTTTTTATCAGCAACACAATAAAATTCATTAATATTAGAAACCAGCAGTATAACAAGAAGTTACGAAAAAAATACAACAAACTCAAAGAAACTAATCCATCCCAGAGTATTATAAGTGAGCCCAATACATAGATTGTCTCTGAACCTCTTGCTTAGCTAAACCATCTGCTATTTAAACTGTTTGCAGATCTCCTATCCCAGTTAATTTGAATCATGATTTCTTTTGATAGCCATTTGAAACACTGAAGTCATTCCTTAGGTGCCAAGTCACTCCCTCCCCCCTTTCAGCCAGCCCAAAACTGTTCTCGAGTCACCTTCAATAATCAGCCTTGCAATGCCCAATTCTTTGGCTTTCTCAATCCTGTAAACTGCTGCCAAGAATTCTGATTTAACCACATCGCCTTGCCCAATTGAATCTGAATACAAGAAAGTATGTTTCCTTTATCATCCCTAATTACTCCTCCAATACCCAAAAGGCCCAGATTGTGCACACAACTACCATCAAAATTCAGCTCCTTCCAACTCTTTGTATTCTAGAGGATGAATCAGCTATTGCACCCCAAGACCTGAAGAAATCTTCAAACTTAAAGTCTGAGAAGAGATTCAAGGTTTTATCCCAATGTGCCACTCTTGAAGTTTTATTTCGAATAAAGTTAACCTTTTTTTCAAAAATAATAGATATAGCACTGTTACCATCATCTTATCATGTTCATTACAACCTAACTCTTTAACATATGCATTCTATAATTTCACAAGTATCATATCTAGTTTTTCCTTTTTTTAATCCTTTTTTGGTAACAAGTAAACATTTAACTTTTTTTGGAAGATGTGCTTCAGGAATGCTGTCTGTGAATTGTGAAATGGATACAAGGCTGTGACATGAATGAAATATAACAAGTAAAAAATGACAAATAAACTAGAATGTATAGGGATAGCACTAACTGCCAGTGAGGTATACGGAAAGTAGATATCTAAAATTTGGCCACATTAACTTGAATAAGTTTTTTTTTTTTTGAAAATTGAGAATTAATTCATTAATCAAAGAGAGATCTGCTATACATAAATCCAAAGAGAGGCTCAAGGTGCAGCCTAACTCTAAGAAAGTATCAGAACTACATGAGAAAACAGAAAACCACTAGTAGAGAGGTAGTACACAATTACAAAGCTGCACAAAACAAAGAGTCCCTGTTAGCCCCTTGTTTTGCAAGAAAATCAGCCATTTCATTTGCCAATCTTCTTACCCAATGGATCCTCACTATCATATTTCTTCTTAAGAAGATCTCTTAAACCCCAGACAGTTGAGTCTGGGTTCAGCAACCAGCCCACAACAACCTGGGAATCCCCTTCAATTATCAGCCTTTTTATACCAAGTTGACTAGCTATCTGAATCCCCTGTACAACAGCTAGAAGCTCTGCTTTGGTAGTCTCCTAAACCAACTGGGCCTCAGAATAATGCTAAGACATCTGTCCTTTAGGGGTGGATTCGAGCCAAGCTGAGCCGAATAGTACCAGGCTCGAGCTCGGCTCGAGAATGTTCTACAAGGCTCGAGCTCAGCTCGAGTCAAAAATTCATAAGCTCGAGCTCGGCTCGGCTCGAGCTCAATTTTAAGAAAAAAATATTCTTCGAAGCTCCTCTCCAGCCAGACATTAAGGTCCAACCCCAATCTTGGCCATTCAAAACCTTCCAAAATCTGCCTAGGATTCAAGGGCCTCCTAAAAATCATTTGAAGTGCTCCACAAATATACCTGCTATGTCATCCTATGAGGAAATCTCTTCGTAATTGACCTTTAGCTTACCCACAAAATTTTTCCTCCTCCTCCCATTGGCTAGTGCATGAAAAAAATTTTGTATTCCCATCACCTTCCTTAATCCAATTATTCCTTGATTTCCGCCTCCAAGAAATTTCGTCTCTCAAGAGGACATCTTCCAACTCCTTTTTTAATTTCCATCTTGAGTCCCTCTCTTGGTCATTCAAGGAATCTTGACTCTCCTTTCCATCCAAGTCTTCACTTTGAGACATTAAGAGGGCTTTTTGTTCCTCTACTCTCCCAAACTGAACCTTGTTCCACTCCTTCAATTTGGCCCCAAGTCTTTTCAATTTCTTGTGGAATCTAACCCCCTTCCACTTCACTCCTCTCAATTCCTCATTCTACCATCCCTTTATCTTATTCACAAAATCTGGATGAGTTAACCACATATTTTCGAACCTGAATGGTCTTGGTCCATTTCCCAAGGATTCTTGTCCAAGTTTAATAGGGCATTGATCAGAGGTAACTCTAGGTAGGGATCTAGGTACTAAATCCTTCCAATGATTTTCCCACTCCTCATTGAAAAGAAATCTATCCAGCTTAGAGCAGACAGGGTTTTCTCGGAAATTTGACCAAGTGAAAATAGCTTGCAGTAGGGGAACCTCCTTCAACTCACAAGTACTAATGAACTCGTTAAACTTACGCATGCTAGTTGTGATAGTCTGATGTGGGTTGTTTATTTCATTACAAAATCTGATTACATTAAAATCTCCACCCACACACCAAGGTCCTCCCCACAAGCCATGTATTCCATACAATTCTTCCCACATCTCGCTTCTTTCCTTATAGTTGTTTGGCCCATACAAATTGGTTAGAACCCAAACAAAACCACCATCCACATTTCTGGATTTGAACGAGATTGAGAAGTTGCCTAACAGCTCCTCTAGAGGTTCCACAACATCTTCCCACCAGATGGTGACTAAACCTCCCGAAGCACCCCAAGATGGCAATAAGGACCAATTCACTCCTCTGGCTCTTCACACCCTTCTAATCCAATTCCTGTCGAACTCCTGTAGCTTTGTTTCCTGCAGCGAAACTACATCAGGTCTCTCTTTCCTTAACAGGTCCATAATTACTCTCCTTTTCCTAGCACTCCCTAGACCTCTAATATTCCAGCTAACAATTTTCAAAAGAAAAAACTTGCTAAGTAACCTTTATAACCCCACCAAAATCCCCTTACTTTGCCTCTTTTCTTCTATCCCCTTACTTAAACATGAACAAGAACAGAGTTTTAAGTAGTGAGAATGAATTGTTTCTGCAACAATATTTTGTCGTCAAAGGATGCTGAGTTAAAGAAGGGTGGATAGTATTCGATGTAATGGACTGATTTCTACTCATAAAAAAAAAAAAGGAAAAAAGAGGCTTCAAACTTATTCCCATGCATTGTGTAAATCTTCCAGGATTGAATCATAACTGACCATGTTTTTCAGTTGCAAGTCAATCAAGAGCCAGTTGATCTACAAGAAAGTGGAAGCAGCAGAACCAGTAACCATACTATAAATCCTAAGAGTGAACTTCGAGTAACAGTTGACCCTTCACTTTACAAATTTTCTACAGATCCACCTTTCATGCCAAGACACAAGAATGGCAGAGGAGATTATCAAGGGACATTGTTTTTGCTCACTATATTAACAAGGCCAATTTGGGCATGGAATTCGATTAACCCCTTCCGAAGTGCATGACAGCGTACAGTTCATGTACTATGATCATTTCCGTGTTTTAAGTTTGCATACATGATATCAGTAGTTCTATTTGCAGTATTTAGAAAAAGACTCGAACATAGTTCTAACCCAACCCAACTAAACATTTGAATACTATATATCTGAGGCTTAGAGAGACAAGGAAAATAAATGAATTAAAAGACAAAAGCCACCAATAAAACTTACTAAAAAGAAACATAAATGAGATAATAGGAAAATAATCATTGATAGATATCAAAACTAAACAAATTAATCACCAAAGTCTTACCTGAGACTTTCCAAAATGACCAGAAGATTTCAGATTAAAGCCGAAACTTTCCTCATCCATAAATTCATCGCGAATAGAGTTGTCTTCTGCAAATCCGTAATCCCTAAACTGTTCTGCCAATGATTCAAAATCCGCCTTCTGCCCATCCACAACCACGTCCCTTCTTCGAGAATCCAAATCCGCCCTGAGCGACACCACGCCACTCTCATCTTGTCGGAATGGCATAGGCAACCTACGGAAGAACTGCTGGACAACTCCATTCAAGCAAGCCCCAAACTCTGCCCCGGCTTGCCCCAGCCTATTGCCAATATCAAAGATCGCAGAAACTCCATTAATTCCCGAATTATCCGTAGCTAGACCGAAGTCCCTTTTTCCGAAACCCTGGGTCGGGAATTCAACATCAAACAGCTTTGGCGTCTGAGGACTCGGCCATGAGAAAGACGACGGATTCATGTGAGAGTGAAGCAAGCCATTGAAACCCTGCGCGAGCCGATCCGCCAAATCGTGGCCATGTCGTTGCACCTCTTCCCATGCTTCAAACGATCTCTCAACCGACATCTAGCAGCAACTATAGGACTTGCTCTTCTCAATAAGCAATCAATCAGGACGATAGTTTAAAAAAGAAAAATTACAGATTTGAAAAACAAGAAGCTAGGCTTTGCCTTCCGAGGCAAAATTAGTCAAATAAACGGCCATGGAAAGGAAAGAGTGATACAAAGGTTGGAATTTTTTGAGCCAGAAGTTCCGCAGGATACAATCACGACATGAGAGAGGTTAAAGTAGGGTATCAATAAGAACCTCGAAATAATTACATACATGAAGAAGAAGAAGAAGAAGAAGATGAGTGAAAATTAGGGTTTCTCATGCCCTTCAATCCGCTAGAATAAAGGCTGAAGTTGGTGGACTCGGGGACCGCGTCACAAAAAGACCAAAACAAAGCATAACAATGCGTTTGTTTGCTTGCTTGCTTGAGAACGATGATGGGCTCTTCTCTTAGGCGCGCGGGGGTGCGTACAGCGCATATCCTTTGGACCGTGAATTTTCGAGTGTATCTCCGCTTTGGCCTTTGGGTCACACAACAGCTGGGGCCCCGAAAATTGTGAATATGTTTGAAAGTTAAAACCATGGGCGTGAAGGGTAGGAGATAAAGATAGGGAGAATGACTGGTCACACAAGGTCAGAATTTTGTAAATATCTGTTTTCTTTCCGTTTCGAGTGGAGGAATCTTCAGTTCTTCACCATCATAGCAGCTCGATGGAGGCGAAATGTAAATCAATCTTTCAAATAAAGTGACCAGCTTAGCTTAACCATCTTCTATATGCGAAAGCCATAATTGATGCAATACAAAGAAACTTGGACCATTTTGATTGGAAATTGGATCAGTCTTTGGAACAGTTTAAGAATTTATTTAAGTTTTTTGTCTCTATAAAACTTGTATATATAAGCCCAGAACTCAAACTTACTCTGCCCATCTCCTTCTGCCAAAAGAAATCCAACTTGGGATAACATCCCAGACTGCCACTGGCTGAACCTTGATTTTCTTTTTCTTTTTTTTGTGTGTGTTAATATAGATTATTTTTTATCTATTCTATCAACATATATATATATATATAGTGAGTTGTGACTCATCCGGACCACACCGTTCATTATTTTGATTTTTGAATCGGTGGTTTTGATACGCCAGCAGCTTAATTTGTACACGTGCCAAATTGCAACGTATAGGGCCGGCCAGCAGAACGCCAGAACCAAACAAAATGCTAAAATCCGGAAGCTCCTCCCTCAAGGTCGGAAAAAGACAGAAGACACCATCATTATTCATTACCAGAAAGAGCCAAGGGCGCGAGTGGATAAGAAGAAATGGGAGTGCTGGTTCTGGTGGCAGCCAGGGATGGATGATGGGTTGTATTGGAATTTTGAATGCAAATTTGCATGATTCGTAACGTGACTTGGTTTCCACCCTTAATTCGAGCCCCGGTATATAGATCTGATCTCAGGTAAAGGCAGCCTCGTTGAGAGTCCTCTGTGGAAGAGTTGGTGCCACGTGTAATTTGTATCATCCAATTTTATTATATTAAGAAATTATCTAAAATTTACTCTTAAATGGGAATCCCATATCGACCTCCTTTAAATATGTGTTTGGTTCTGTTTATATTTTTTCATTCAACATTTGTACTTTATTTAATTGTAAAATTGAAAAAGGTAATAATTGCAACAGTAAAAAAAACGCTTAACCGTTTGTGAAAGTTTAAAAAATAACTTCTCCAAGTGGTAGACGTGCATAAAAACCAAAATCCATTTATGTCATTCTCAATGCATACAGAAGAGCATGAGAGAGAAACTACTGAAGTGGTGGTCTATGTGACAGTGTTTATTGAATAAACACCCTCTAAGTATCATTAGTGTTGTTTATTGATATAAATTGCCATATCAGCATAAATATAATTTTTATGACCAAATTGTCCAGAAATTGCTATGTCAGATCACCGTACCACCCCTCTCTCTAGCACGGTTATTAACCTCGTCATCGGAGAACTTTGGGCTCAAAGACTGGATTTCACCAGATGATGGGCTTGGACCTTTGGCAGTGATTATAATGTGGTGGTGAAGCTTTGAATGTTCCTATCTGAAGCCAAAGGTTGTGTTTGGTTGTAGTGCAATCTTATTTGTACTAATACAAATACATGAGAGAGCAAGTGAAAAAAATGTAAATTCTTGTTTAATTTTATTTTGGGCTTAAGTTTATTTTGCTTCGCATTTTATTTTACTTCATTTACACTACAATCAAACAAAATATGCTACAACTTGAAACAAAAATAGATCATAATTTACATTCAAATCATTTGCACAAAGAACCAATTTGGACCTCTGTGTGCTTTCTCATGATCGATTATGTTCCTGTTATTTGACTTTGAGTTGTTTCTCTGTGCTTAACAAAAACTGAAGCAATAAGCATTTGGCTATACGTAATATATGCAGAAGGCTACACATAATAAAGTAGTCGAGTATCGAAGTCATCTGGTTCATGTTTCTCAGGGGTTGCAGGGCCCTGCAACAAGATAAGAAATCCATGGCTTTTGTTTATAATAGAAGATAAGAGAACTTTTGAAGAAAAACTAATACCAGAAAGGCAAAAAAAGTCCACCTCTTTCAACAATTTCAATCAAAAGTTAACGAAGGGCCAATGGACTGATGATCTTTCATCATTCTTGCTTAATTCACAGACAAATTACATTTAATCCATGGCAGAGTACCAATTGGAGTATAGATCTGTGTAAAGTATTTGAAGCGCCAAATATAAAAACTACCAAGGAAGAAAGAAAAAAAAGAAGAGCACCCAATGCAAAAAAGTGGGAGAAAGCCTGCTTACAAGGTGGTGAGAAAGTGCTTGCTGTAGGTATGCCGAGTTTCGTAAGGAAATATATTCGTTGGATGGTTTGGATTTTTTTTCATCTTATTAGTTTGTCTATAAATTTTAATTCTTTTCTAAAATATATAATTATCATTTTATGTATTTTTTTTGTAGTTTCTGATTATCTAATGTTTTTTGAAAATTTTATCATTTTCTTATTTTCTGAAAATTTTAATTTCTTGCTATAATATATAATTTTTTATTTTTTTATCATTTTATGTATTCCCTTTTTCAATTTCTGTTTTTATCCAATCTTTATATTCTTCCCAGTTTTTTTTGTCGTTTTCAAATTTCTTGTATTTTATTTTGCATTTTTGGTGTTTTCCTATAATTTCTGGTGTTTTTTATAATTTATTTTTCTTTCATTTTTTCTATCTTCTACAATCTATACACTTTCCTGTATTTTTTGTTATTTATTTGTAATTTTGTGTTTTCTATAATTTTCTACAATTTTTGTTTTCTGTTTTTTTTTTAATTCTAGTGATTTCTATAACTTATTTTTTTATTTTCTAAATTTTTTAATTTTTTTTGCAATTTCTATCATTTTCATTTTTTGCAATTTATGTGTTTTTATGTATTTATAATTGAAAATATTTTTGGAAATTTTCCTTTTTTCATGTTTTTTAGTTAAAATACATGTATATTTTACATTTTTTGTAAAGGGTAAATTGGTAATCTAATAACATCCATTAGTCTATTTAACGTTAACTCATAGATAGAGATGAGCAAATGGGTAGGTTCTACCCAGAACCGAATGGAACCAACCTCAACCAGCCTTAGAACCAACCCTACCCAATATGTTACAAGGTAGGGCCTAGTTCCAAATTCTTGGAACCAACCCCCACCCAAGTTGGTTCCAAGGTCTAGGGGTTTACCTTACCCGAACCAACCCGATGAACCAGCCTTGGTTGGCCTTGGTGGAACTTGCCTTGGAACCAAACTTGCTTTATGAACCCCAAAATATTTTTAATGATGTGAAAATTTGAGCCCAAGAGAACTCATGGTTACAAAAGCCATGGTCTCACTTGACCATTGAGTTACTTCAGTGATTTGATCATTTGTTTTCATTTTAATATTTGTATGTGTATAATAAATAATGTAAAAGGTAATATTTACAAAATTTAAATCATAATGACAAATTTTCAACCAAAGATTAATATATTATGATATTTTACATATTAAATTACTCAATTTAATCAGTACAGATAATATAAATTTAAACTATATATTATCATTATTGAAAATCAAGTTTTTTGAAGGACATGTTTCATTTTTTTGGGGGGCAAATTCTTAAACTATCCCTACTGTTTAGCTAATTGACAAACTCTACCTTTATTGTCCATATATTGTCTTAAAGTGCTCCTACTATTTCTGACAATTGACTAATTATTCCCCTACCGTTAGGGTTCTGTCACAAATCTGTCATAATCTACTCACATGCCATTACCACACAACTGTTATATTTTGAAAAAATGACAATAATACCCTTGTCTTCACCTCGACGTCTGTTGTCTAAAACGTGGAAGGGGGGGGGGGGTCAGTGCCTGTTGAACCTCAGGAGCATGTGCTTGATTTCATTCACCCCTAGTGTCGATGCTTGCAAAGCTACTCTTCTTCTCGAGATCTACGGTTTAGGGAGAGAAATGACAGTTTTCATCCGAACAAGTTACCAATCCACTCAATGACTAGGTGAGAGATTATAATGGAAAACCCTAGAATTGAAAACCAAGAAGCTTAGGATTTGGGGATTTATAAATCTTAGTTTATAAATCGCTGGTTTTGGTTGGAAACTCATATTGCGATTTTGGTTGGGAACTCAAATAGTAGTTGTCAATATCATCAGCTCCTACAACCCAACTCATATAGGGTTGAGAGAGAATTTCGACAACTCCGCCTTGACTCTTCTTCTTCTTCTCCAAAGTTTTTGTCATTCTAGTTCCGCTAGAGATCGTTTGCAGACTAGTTTGGTTTGTCGAGGAAGGACTGTTGAAAAAATTGTGACCTGCATTGAAGTTGGCCATTGTTGTTTGACGCCACCGACCCTTTGTATTCCAACAGTTCAACATTCTGATTTTTTATCACCGGCACCGATCCTCTGTATTCAAACTTCTCTTGGATCATGATATCATTTATTAGGAGGTCAACCAATCAAGTTGCTCACGAAGTGCCAAAGTAGCTCATAATTTCATAAATCTTCCTTTCATCTCCAGCAAACTAGACGAGTGGAGGTGGACTTCAAAGACCTTTTGGTGGAATGAATGCTAGAAGTGGATGTGGACTTTGGAAGATCATCTACATGTTTACCTTTGAGAAGAGGTGGAGAGGTTTGTCTTGCTAGAAGTGGAGGGCTTCTTAACCACCCGATTTTGTCTTGCTTTTGAAGAAATTGGCCCAGGAGTATGGATACGAACAAAAGGGCATTGTTTCTGAGCTCAGCCCATTCTCTTGAAGCATGGCTCGAGCAGATGGAGGAGATGGGAACCTCTCCTTCTACAATTGTGATTGGTGAGTAGAGGACTTCAAAGATTGGGTGATGACCAGGAGCCTGTCAATAAAAGAAATTAAAGGAGCAGAATGTTAACAAAAGCAATTGAAAAACAGAGAACCCAGGACTTAGATAAGAGAAATATGTTTTCCTCTATATTATTCAGAAGTCTTGAACCCAATAAATAAACAAATTCATAACAAAAAATGCATGTAAATAGGACTCCAAACAAACCCACATGAGACTACAACTAGAAACATAAATGTGTAGAAAACAATTAATATTATCTTAACAATCCCTCCCTTAAACTAAACACGGTAATGCTTCAGTTTACTTGTGCAGCAGCAACATCAACATTCTTCAAAGTGCAAACACCCATCAACCTTCTCAAAATTTGGAAGGGAGAAATTTTGAGAGACTTAGTAAATATATCAGCCAATTGTTCATCACTTTTGCAATACTTCAGATCAGTGGTGCCATCACTGCTGAGATCTCTTAGAAAATAGTATTTCACACTTATATGCTTGCTTCTTCCATGTAACATAGGATTTTTGGACAACTTGATGGTTGCTTGAATTTCAACTCTTCAAGAATTCTCGTTAGCCAAATCGCTTGACAAGCACAAGATGTTGCAGCAACAAATTCAGCTTCTATGCTTGACAAGGTGACAATCGATTGCTTCTTGGATGACCATGAAATAGCACCTGTCCCAAACATAAAAACATAACCCGAAGTACTCTTCCTATCATCTTGGTCTCCTGCATAATCGTTGTCAGTAAATCCCAGCAAATTAGACTTTGCACCCCTTTTGTAAAATAGGCCAAGAATTTTGTGCCGCCAAAGCAACCACCAATCTGATTGTGTCATGTCTTGCAACCGGAGAGAAAACTTTTGTATAGTCAATCCCATATTGTTGCTTGTATCCCTTGGCAACCAAGCGTGCCTTGTACTTGTCAACTTCACCATTTTCTTTCAACTTTATTTTGTAGAACCACTTTACACCAATAGTTTTGTGTCCTTTCGGAAGGTCAGATAGTTCCCATGTATCATTTCTTTCAATGGTATCAATTTCATCATCCATCGCTTTTCGCCATTTTTCTTCTTTAACAACACTCTCAAAAGTTGTAGGATCACAATCTAAAAATAAAGCAAAGTGAGTAATTGGTTCTTGAATTCCAATTACCTCATAATCTTCCATCCAAGCAGGCCTTCTTCTAACACGACGAAGAGATTGAGCTTCTTCTTCATTGACTTCAGTGTCTGTTTGCGAAGTTTCAGTGGTTGTTGGGGTTGTACTTGATGAATTTTCATGCATACAAGGTGCTGAAATTTCTTCCTGCTCATCATTGTTGTCATAAAGGACTTGGGTAGGTTGTTGCCTATTCCAATCCAAGTGTTCTCTTCATCAAAAACAACATCCTAGCTGGTCACAATTTTCTTTGTCAGTGGATTGAATAATTTATATGCCTTGGATGCTTCACTTACACCAAGAAAGACACATTTTTTTCAATCTTGTCATCAAGTTTCTTCCTTTTCTCATCCGAGACATGAGCATAAGTGATGCATCCAAAGATTCTAAAATGATCCACAACTAGTTTTCTCCTACTCCAAGCCTCTTCTGGTGTCATATTTTGAACAACAAAAGTTGGACTTCTGTTCAAAACATAAATGCTCCAGTTTACTACTTCTGGCCAAAAAGTCTTTGGAACTCTTTCTCTTGCCAATAAGCTTCTCACCATGTTGAGAATGGTTATATTTTTCCTCTCCAATACACCATTTTGTTGTGATGTATACACAGTTGTAAGCTCTCTTTGAATGCCATGCTCTGAACAAAAAATTTCAAATTCTTTTGAGCAATATTCACCAGCACGATCTGTATGAAAGCTCTTAATGGTCTTTCCTACTTCATTTTCCATACGTGCTTTGAAGTTTTTAAATGTAGATAAAGCTTCTGATTTTTCCTGTAAAAAATAAACCCAAGTTTTTCTTGAAAAATCATCAATAAAGGTAATAAAATATCTTTTACCTCCATTAGAAGATGAGTTTATTGGTCCACAAATGTCCGAGTGCACCAACTCCAAAACATCCTTTGCTCTCCATGACTTTCCTTTGGGAAATTGAGAACGATGTTGTTTGCTAACAACACATTCTTCACAGACTTGAGAAGGGGTAGTAATTTCTGGAAGGCCTGTGACCATATTCTTCTGTTGAAGGGTCTTCAATCCACCAAAGCTCAAGTGACCATAACGAAAATGCCACAACCATGAAGGATCTTTTATTTCATCCATCAAACAAGATTGAATACTTTCAATCTTTAATGGAAACAATCTGTTTGAACTCATTTGAACAACTGCAATAGCACCTCTAACAGGGTCATAAATTTCACAAAGACCCTTTTTAATAGTGATAACATAACCCTTTTCTTGTAACTAACCGACACTCAATAAGTTACTTTTCAGGTCAGGAACATACAACACATTAGAGATTGTTTCCACAAGACCATTCTTGGTTCTTATCTTAATATCACATTTTCCCATCACTTTCACATTAGAACTATCACCAAAACTCACAGTAGAATGAAAATCTTCATTTAAATAAGAAAAGGAAGACTTACTTCCACTCATGTGGTTACTGCATCCTGTATCCACATACCAGATTTCTGACTCGGGTTCCTTTCCGTCTTGAACAACCATCAACAATATTTTTGCCTCCTTTTTCTCGATAAAATTTGAAGTCTCTTCCTTTTCTCTGTCATTAGGTAACTTAGTGTAATATTCAGAACGATAATGACCGAATTTATGACATCGAAAACACTCTATTTTGGATTTGGCAGATTGTTGATCCTGTCCTCTGCCTCTACCTTTGAGAGTGATCATCATTGCCACCCCTTCATCTGCCTCTGCCTCTGCCTCTACCTCTACCTCTACCTCTAGAATTTGAGGAAGAAACAGGGGTAGAAGTTTTTAAAGTTTGCTCCTCTGTAGTTGAATCTCAATTCATGTTCTGTTCATGGACCAGCAGAGAACTTTGGAGTTCATCAAGGGAGAGTGTGTCTACATCCTTGGATTCTTCAATTGAACAAACAACATAATTGAACTAGGGTGCCATGGACCGCAATATCTTCTCAACAATGACAACATCTTCCATTTTTTCACCATGGAACCGCATTTTATTTAATAGTCATGATCTTTACAAAATAGCTGGTTACAAATTCACTATTCTTCATCTGTAGAACCTCAAATTCCTTTCTCAAGGCCTGAAGTTGTGCATGCTTCGTTTTAGAAGAGCCTTGATATTTCTTCTTCATTGAATCCCAAATATCCTTGGAACTTTCTTTTTCGCCTTCAGATCTTTCAACTTCAGTCCCTCCAACTCCTTGTGTTGAGTGTTTGTGAATTCTGCTCCAGCCGTAGGTGTTGCTACACTAGTTTCAACAACATGCCAGTACTCTTTAGACTGCAACAAATTCTCCATCAGCATGCTCCAATGATCATAATGGCCATCAAAACGTGGAATGGCTGGTTGAACAAAATTTTCAGAAGCCATTTTGAAAGGCTCTGATATCACTGTCAATAAAAGAAATTAAAGGAGCAGACTATTAACAAAATCAATTGAAAATAGAGAACCCAGGACATAGATAAGAGAAATATGTTTTCCTCTATATTATTTAGAAGTCTTGAACCCAATAAATAGACAATTTCATAACAGAAGATGCATGTAAATAGGACTCCAAACAAACTCACGTTCTGCACAATTACTTTAACTATGGACTCTAAACAAACCCATATTCAAATATTATAACTAATCTCCTAAAGTCTAGGACACATTAACTGAGACTGCAACTAGAAACATAAACGTGCAGAAAACAATTAATATTATCTTAACAGAGCCTAGGGCTGAACTTGATCTAGATGAATGGTTTGCGGGGAAGACTGGCGTTCACTCCCAAACAAGCTCATGGAAGTAGCTCTTTACCCACCAAGCCTTGACCACGTCTAAGGACCTGGTCAAACCAACCTTGGCTTTGGACATTGAAAAAGATTTGGGTGTTATTATAGGCAAGCAAAATGGTTCAGATCGTACAAGAGAACAATTAATCAAGTCCTGACATTGGCGGCATTCCTGATTAGCCACATCGGTGTTTTCCGCACAATGCAGGTTTGTCAAGTTTGACGCCATGTTTGATGGTACCAATGGCTATTTCGTTCATCCGGTGACAACTCATACAATGGTTTGGCTTTGGTTTTTATTTTAAATTTGAACCAAAATAAAGGGCAAATTTGACATTTTCATTTTTTCCATTAGCATTTAATGATGATGACAATTGTCAGAGACAGTAGGGATACTTTAAGACAATATATGAACAGTAAGGGTAGAATTTGTCAATTAGCTAAATAGTAAGGATAGTTTAAGAAATTTGCCATTTTTTCTTGAAGAGGGAGAGTAAAGAAAGAACAGGTTCCACAGGTAACCCTGGAACCGACCTTCATAGGGTAGATTCTGATTCCAAAATCTTGGAACTAACCCCTATAGGGTAGTTCTAAGTTTTACCGTGGAATCGAACCGAATTGACCCATGCTCACCCCTACTCACAAACATAGGGTTCCTTGGATGTTTTGAAAAGTTATGATGAGTTTAAGAGAACTGGTAAAAAGTCATGGTGGGTTTTAGACAATTTTCCTATTATATTTATATAAAGTTTTATGCAATGTTGAGATAACTAGACTGGCCATAAACCCATGAAAAAGGTAAAGGTTCATGGGTTAAAGGTTCAATTAGTGTTAAACTAGAGGTCAAACCATGCTGATATAATAAATAAAATTCAAAAAATATTAATATAAAGAAAAACTAATCCAATATAACAACAATACTTTAAACTTTCAAAGTTTAACACAATACATAATCCAACAAACCTATATTCAAAACAAAATTCAGAAATTAAAATTTTATTTCTTTCACTTTTCAGACTTTCAACGGCATAGGCTAACCTACGAGGCTACAACAATTTATGTGATTGTGCCCGAGTTTAGAAGAATGAATAATACTAGTATCAAATTGAAGCAAGCTTGTAAATATTAAACAAAACTAATTAGGTCATGTTTGGGAGTGCTTATGTTAAAAATAAGTGCTCATTTGAATAAGCACTTCTTTGCATTTGGCACCTAGTTTTTTCAAGTGCTTATTTTAAAAAATAATTATTTCATATTTAGCGTTTGGTGGTCTTTTTCTCCAATAATCATTTAAACGAGCACTTGTGACTCTTTTGTCCTTCATTTTTTTTTCAAATTTTCAAAATATCCAATTCAAAGTGAATGAATAAAAGTACTTTGGTAGAAGTGCTTTTATAAAAGTAGTTTTGTAAACGTGCTTTCATAAAAATACTTTGACAAAAGCACTTTTATTGAAGTACTTTTATAAAAGTGATTTGATAAAAGTATTTTTATAAAAGTACTTTCATAAAGTGTTTCCATAAAAGTGCTTTTATAAAAATACTTTCATAAAAGTGATTTTATAAAAATACTTTTGTAAATTGCTTTCATAAAAAGGTATACTTGGTATTCTAAAAATTTATCGGAGATAATTGTAAAAGAAAAGAAGGGCAAATTTCTTACTTTTACTGTTTATGTTTATATTTTGTATTGAATTACCCTTACTTTTTCTAACAATTAACATCATCCTTAAATACCACCTTTATTGTTTATCAAATTTTCAAAATAAAACACAACTGATAAAAATTTTCAAGAATAGGAAGCAAACCGTTGCTCCTTCTTCGTCTCTATTTCTGTCTCTATCACCGCCTCCGTCTGTTTTCCGTCTTTGTCTCTATTTTTATGTCCGTCTCCACCTCCGCCTGCATCCTTCTTGCCGTCTCCCTCACCTGAGTCAAACGGCATCCCAAAATGGAAATCAGAATCTCAGAATATTAGAATGGAACCAGCACCAGAAATCTGATGCGGCACAGCGATCATGTAAGCTTGGACAGGACCCTTCAAACCCAAAGAAATACATACGCACTTTTAATAATGCAAATTTGCAGACTTGATTGTAGTATGTCCAATCCTTGTCGCCTTCATCATCTTCATACAAGATCCCTGGGCGTTCACCATTTTTAGTCCCTGTCCTCTGCATGATGGCAGAAATAAGCTCATCAAATTTCTCTGTAGCAGAATTAAATCTATGAATACAACCCGATTGTATCCTACGCAAAAGTATTCCCAAAACCAAGAGATGGATAGTATTTTCCAGGATCTCCACTTTCGGACGCCATTAGTGCAGAAAATTCACTGTGAATGTCATACTAATCATCTGGTGGCTTAAGGGTAAGTGCAGAATCCCAGAATTTCTGCATCATTGTTCTTACCACATCATTGACAGCTCCAGAGCCCCCCTCAACCATGGAAATTGCTGCATGAGTTATCTGCAGGACGTCGAGACAAGCAGCAAAACATCCTTCTCAACCGAACCGAATTGAGAAAACCAAACCTCAAAATGCGGTTAATCGAATCGATTAGTTCGTGATTTTTGAAAAACCGAAAGATCACTTTGATTTTCGATTAACTTACAAAATGATCAACGGTTAACTGAACCGACGAATATATATATATATATCACATATTTTCTATATATTATATATAAATATATACTTATATTATATTTATAATGATCTATTTATAAATATATTATATATTTTTTTAAATATTTATAATACACTATATATCATTTATTATTTATAATATATTATTATACATATATTTGTATAATATATATTATAAATATAAAAAACTGAAAAACCGAAGAATTGAATTGGTCAAAAATTGAAACCAACGGATCGATTAACCAGTGGTACCGGTTCGATTTTGGTTTGAAGAATTGGAAAAATTGGTGCCACCAGTTTGGTTTACGAAAAAGTGCTATGGTTTGGTTAACCGAACAGTGGACACCCCTAAAGTCCAGTCCTGAACAAGCCCAAAATGAAAAAGGGAATTTTCAACTGTGAAAGGGTACTTGTCACTCACTTGGTGAAGAGGCTTTTGACAATTATCTGAAAATTTAAAGATAATTTAAGACAATATGTAAATAGTAAGAATACAGTTAGTCAATTTCATAAAAGTAGGAATAGTCTATGAAATTTGCCCAAGAAAAAATTTGAATAAGGACCATTTAAAAAAGGGTTTTTTACGAAAAAAAAATAATAAAGTTAGTTGAATCGACAAAATTACCCTCCCCAATTCCTATTTTTCTCTCTCTCTCTTTTTATTTCTTCTTCTTCTTCCCCATCGGTACCATCAAACATGATGACCAAAATCTTTCCATATGAGCAAGTTTGTTTTGAATTTGAGAAATGAGAGGCAAACAATTCTGTGTCGAATCATTAAGGGGCTGTTTGGCATTATTGCCATTTCCTGGAGCAACGATGCCACATCAGCACTATATTAGAAAAAATGGTGCTTCAGGAAACGAGCATTTATTTGGAACTGTTTTTCCATAAAAAACGGTTCTCCAAGCCACGCCTCAGAAATCGGGAAGCCATGGATTGGAGCAACGCCAAATTTGGTGTTTCCTGGAGCTGCAACTCATTGCTGCCAATAGGGCTGTGATGTGGCACTAGATAATGGGTATCATTGCTGAAAACGTTTCCTAGATCAATGGTACCAAACAGAAAAAGTTGATGTTGCTCCGGGAAACATCTTACCTAGCAGCAATGATTCCAAACAAAAAGAAATGCACTGTTTTTTGAGAAAACGGTGCTCCAAACCACACATCAGCAGCATTGTTTTATAAGAAAACGGTATTGCAACTACAGCATTGATGCCAAACATATACTAAAACAGAGCATACTTCACATAGGATTTTGCCAAGTCGTGAACTAGGAATAATTGGAAATTCCTTCAACACTGATTCTAATGTGTTCCCGTCCATCAAATATATATTCTAATCATGAACTGGTGAAGCAATATTCATTCACCACCATGAACTGGTTATAATAATACTTGTCAAACTCCACTTGAGCAGTTGAGCCCTAATGTCTTGGGCAGTTGCTTCCCAGCTTACATCCATGGCTCTAGTGCTGCCACATCATTAAACACTAAGGCTGTGTTTGGTTTGAAGGAAAAAGTAGGGAAAGGAAGGGAAAGGTAGGAAATGTTTACAAACCTTGTATAGGCTTTCCTACCTTTCCCTTCCTTTCCCTACCTTTTCCTTCAAGCCAAACATAGTCTAAATGTGAAATTGGTTTGAATAAAAATAACTAGAGGTGTAAAGTGAGTCATGCCAGGCTGGCATGGCATGACCCATGGGAGGCCCGTGCAAAGTGTAGGCCGTGTTGTGCTGGCCTAGGGGGTGTCATGGGCCGTGCCGTAGGCCAAGCTGTCCCATGGGTCGAGCCTTGGGCCAAGTCGGGTTGTGCATTGGGCCAAAGCTATTTATTTAAAAAAATTGACAAAAAAACTTAAAATTTTAATTTTATATGAATTTTGTGTATACTATTGCTTATATATACAATAATTAAATAAATTAGTATAATAAAATTAAAAAAAATATTTATTTTATTAATATATTATATGTTACATATTATTATATAATTATAATTTATATAATATTATATAAATATATATAGGTTGTGCCTCGGGTTGTGTTGGGCCGGGCTACGAGCTGGGCCCACTCGGTCGTGTTGTGTCGAGCCAGTTCGTTGACCTAAAACCCCAGGCCCAGCATGGTCCGCATGATCGTGTTGGGCCTGGCACGGCCCGCATGATGTACCGAGCCTGGCATGGCCTACGGACCATCATGCCGGGCCATGCCAGACCGGTCCAAGTTTGTGTCGGGCCACGGGCCACACAGCCTGATTTACACCTCTATGAATAACCACGCATGAAAAATGGTATGTCATCCACTCCCATATCCTCACAACACCCAAATTCGTCTAAAGAAGACCCACAATGCACATATGAATACACTTAGTAACACGATGCCTAGTTTGGTGGTCACCGTATCAAATGGTAAAAAATTAGGAGTCAAGACGCTAGTTCAAAATTCTGATGGCCATTTTGCTACAAGGAAGAAGAAGGTGGGTGGGGGGATAGACGAAGGGGCAACGACCGGATTGGTTCAGTGGTCGCCATGTTTTATGGTGCCAATGGGGAAGAAGAAGAAGAAATAGAATGGTAGAAAGGAAGAGAAAAATCAAAATTGGGGAGGGTAATTTTGTCCATAAAAGTTGACTTTTTTCCAGCTCACTAACATATCTGATTTTATCGATTCAACCAACATTATTAATTTTTTTTTTGTAAAAACCCTTTAAAAAGGATAAATTTCTTAAACTACCTTTATGGTTTAACAAATTGACTAAGTATACCCTTATTATTTGAAAATTGACTGAGGCCTATTGTTTCTCACAATTGACTAACTCTATTCTTACCGTTTACTTCCATCAAAACTCATGCAAAATGCCTAAATTGCCCTGCGGCTTAAAAAATACAGAGCTTTAAGACAACCCTGTAACTCCCACCAATGGGTGGAGTTACAGGGTAGTGCTGCCGAAGTCGCCTAGAGGAAAAAGAGAGAGAGAGAGATTGGAGTTCAAAAGCAAATACTGCCGACGTCACCCATAGGAAGAATAGAGAGATAAAGATAGATTGGGCTTCAGAGAGGTTGTCATCACCCAAAGGAAGAAGAGAGAGAAAGAAAGGTTGGAGTTCAAAGGGGTTGCCTCCCATCATCGCCCAAAGGAAGAAGAGAGAGAGAGAGAAAGATCGGACTTCAAAGGGGTTACCACCGCCATTGCCCAGAGGAAGAAGAGAGAGAGAAAGATCGGACTTCAGAGGGGGTTATTGTTGTTGTCGCCTAGAGGAAGAAGAGAGATAGAGAGAAAGAGAGATCGGACTTTAGAGGGGTTGTCACTGCTGTCGCTCAGAGGAAGAAGAGAGAGAAAGAAAGACCGGACTTCAGAGGAGTTTCCGCCGCCGTCGCCTAGAGGAATAAGAGAGAGAGAGAGAGAGAGAGAGAGAAAGAAAGATCGGACTTCCGCTGCCATCGCCCCTGTTCAGTTCGCTCATACCACTTTGGTTGTCACTGCCGTCGCCTCACTCATTCTTTGCTTCTTCAGCAGAGCACCCCCACTGTTGAAGAAGAAAGAGGATGAAGTGCTCATTGTGTGCTTGAACCCTCTTGACAAGGCAGGCCACACATTGCAAGTGAAGTTCAGAGAATAATTTTAGAGATGGTTCATAAATGTAAGGATGCATTAGCTCGGAGGAATAAACCATATCCTAGAATTTTCTTTCACCCTCCTTGTATTCATCCTTCAGTTTCAAATGAGCTTCCCAAATTTTGTCAGGTGTAGCACACCGATGATTCGTCTTTCTCATCCCATGTGCAAAGTGATTGCGAGCATGCGACATCTCAGTACACAGGACAAAGCTAATGTTTAATGTCTGAGACTGTGGCTTTGTCTTGTGCATATGGTGCAGATACAATACAATTCTCTCCGATGATTTGGTGTTGACGGAAACTGTGAGAGGAAAATAGAGGGAAGAGAGAGAGTGGTCGGAGGAGGAAGGGTGTGCCGAGTCAAGAGAAAGGGGACAAGGGTAGCATTGGGTTTTAAAAAATTTTAAACATCAGGTGATGCCATATGAGTATGGGTTTTAACGGAATATTAAACCATAACGGTAATGTTAGTCAATTTTCAAACAGTAAGGGTGCACTTAGTCAATTAGTTAAACCATAACAGAAGTTCAAGAAATTTACCCATGATTAAAGCTAAAAATTTAGATTTTAAAAAATAAATCCTTACTTTTAAAATAAGCACTTATTTAAAGCTTATTTCCCAAACACCAATAAATACTTATGTGTGGTTCCCGCCCAAATAAGTGGTTAATGACTTTCTAAGTTGCTAGTTTCTAATGAACTATTTCAGTAATTAAATATGAGGAGGGTGAGAAAGAGGAGAAGGAACCGCCTCCTCTTTCTGTTGGAGGCAATGGCAGTAAATGGCAACTTCTGTTGAAGGCAATAGCGGTGAAGAGACCACTGGCTGATGGAGGAGGGAGAGAATACCTGGAGGTGGCATGGCAGTCGACGGCGACTTCTGTTGGAGGCAATGGCGAATGGTGGAGGGTTTCGTTGAACAAGGAGGATGAGGAACATGTACTAGGGTTTTTTTTTTTTGGGGGGGGGGGTGTTGGGTCTTTTCTCTTTTGTTTTAGCCTCTTGGGACGAGGTAGTCTGAGTTTTGGTCGATTATGAATAGGATAGGGATGTCATTTGGTTTTTTTGCCTTTTTGTGATTAGGAGGGATACGAAAGGGTTGAAATAAAACCAGCTGGTTATTCAAAACTGAGACCGGGTCACCGGTTCCCAGGTTGAACTGATCGGGTGGCGGTTTTTTGCGTTTTTTGAAGAGAGCGGTTTTGGGGGCTATGCCCAAACCAGCTAGGCAGCTAGGTGTCTAGGTCACAGTATGACCGATTTGACCAGCTGGTCCATCCGGTTTTCTAAATTTTGGTTTTATGTTTGATTTAGGGCACTAATCAGGTTTTATTTGTGGTCGAGTAAGCCACTCTACTTTAAATTATATAAATTGTTTTCCCGTTTTTTCTCACTTTTTCTTGCTATATTTTGGCCCGAAAACAGTGAATGAAGATAATCAAGGAGAAGAAAAGGATGTGGGGTTGTCAAGATTTGGTTTTCCCTTAAACTGACGAAATGATAAACTGGGCTTCCTCTTGGTATGCACTTGACCGATACTCCAAAAGCCTTATGGAACACATCAAACTAAGAACTTCATCATTTAAGACCATAACACAAGTTCTTGATATCCTGTTTTGGCCATTTTACGTGTTTTTCTTTCAACACTCCTGCCCTAAAACCTCCATTCTGAAGCTAAATTGACGGAATGATAATCTGGGCTTCCTCTCGTTCGACTCTGCTTATGTTTACCGTGTCCAACTCTGGAATGTCAAGGAACTAGATTGAACAGAACATTGGAAAGGTAATATGATTCGATTACAGTTCAACCACATGTCAAACTGAGAAGTAAATCCAAATGAGCAAACCGAACGCGCAGGATGAGGTTGGAGGTATTGACACGAGTACTCAAAGAAGAGACCATCAAGAAAACTGTCACAGAGGTAGAAACAAAGAAAAGATGGCACAAAGAGCACCTCGAGCAATTATTAACCATAATCATATAAACTCTCAGAACGCAAGCCATTCTACTAGGCCATGAACTCCCCACCCTTCTGTTTTACTTTTACCCTCTGATTCCTAGCTATATACTGGAGCACTTAGAAAGTTGGGATGGGGATCAAAGGCAACCAGACATGAAGATACAGATACTCCTCCCTTCATAGGGCACTGGGACATTTGTCAATGATCCTTATTGTCACAGACAAGATAAGACATGCAATGAAAAGGGATGTAAGACAGAAAATACGTGCAATGAAAATAAGCAAACTTGTTGGAGGTTGGGATTTCTTTAACACCCAACCAATCCCATGACAAACTTGAATGCATACTACTTATCTAATAATTCAGGTAATTTCTAATTATCAAACAAATACAGGGTCAGTAACTCCAGATGTTTAGTTCTCATGATGCGGCAACCAATTTGCATCTCGAACCCAAGTAATAAGATTAAACTGAAAGAAGGAAAAGATGCCCCTATCTAGCATGAATTTTGGAAAAGACAGCAATGAAATTGCACTAGAAAAAGCCACACCAAATGAACAAAGTCTCACATGGATTCCTATGCCATTATCTTGGCAGATCTTATGTACAAACTGTCCACAACCTTGCCAATGTTGGAAATGGTTTCTAATGTTGCTGGGAAGATTGCATCTGGCTTGGGATCATCAAAGATGACGAGGCACCCAGCACCCTGATCCAAAGTCCCGGCAAACTTCTTGTCCAGAATCATCTGAGATAACTTCTTCTCCACATGATCAACAGGCAGTTCAATCAGCTCAGCAACATGAGGAATCTCAACCCTTGAGTAAGGCTCAATTAACCTGCATAGGTTTTGTTCCAGGAGTGTATCATACAGGGACGATAGATGTCTGTGAACAATTGGATCATCCTCTAACTGAGCCCTATAATCTCGCAATGCAGTCTCAAAGAACTTTAAGGAGCGCTTTGAATGAGCATCAGCCACAGCTTTCATAGCATCCAACTCTGGTCCCACATACTGCAGGCCTGCTTTTGAAGATATTATCCCGGCCACATCATCAGCCTGGTTAACCATGATCTTGCACAACAACATGTACTTAAGACTAAAGACTGCCCTAGGATCTTCAAGAGCATTGAAAGCTTCAAATGCTTCAAAGAAATAGCTGTAGGCAGTCTTGTAATCCTTCTCTTCTGCATGGAGGATCCCACTCTGCAAATCTATGGTGCCCTGTTGTGCTGGAGGGACATAGATAGCATTTGCCTCTGTTCTTGCAGCTGTAAGTGCGGCCTTTGCCTTGGGAAGGTTTCTCAGAGAGAAATGGAGTTTACTCTCTAACAAATCTATGTCCACAAGAAGAAGTTTGTCATCTAATCTCCTCACCTCCTTAACAAGGCCTGTTAGAAGGGTTAAAGCTTCTGCATATTCCTTGTTCTCCATCAAAAGTGCAGCAAGCCTTGCTTCTACTCGTTGTCTAAGAAAGGTACGCTTCTCAGCACGTGTCCACTGAACCATTTCTTTGCAAAGGGATATCTGGAGATCAGATGTTCCAGGTATCTTGGCCACAGCATCAATAATTCCTCGGACTATCTTTGCAGTTTTAGCCTTGGGAATCAAGGAGAAAAAGGGCCTCAATTGAGTCAGAAGGCTCCGAAGCTCCTCAGCCCTACTTTCTTGTCTGAGAAGATCTGACAGATTTGAAATGGCTTGTTCTTTTATGCGTAAAGCTTCTGAAGAAGAGGACGGGTTGTCAAGTATGCGGTAAAGCATGGATATGGCCTCTGCTGGGTCCTTGGCTTCTAAAGCCTGTGCTATTGAGTCTGTTGTAGCAGGGAGATCTGATGATGACATGGCCACTGCTGCCAAAATTTGGGTCCTGTGAGCCAATAGTGATCAAACAATTTGATGAAGAAAGCCACAATAATTGAACCTGTTACATGAAAAATGAAATAAAATGTTTTCTGCCTCAAAAGATGGAAAACTCATAAGATACCTTGTGAAGTTTAAATTTTCAAATGAAGTTGTACTTTTCACCAACTTGTTTAAATGGAAAATAGTAAACCATGTACAGTCAATCAATTAATTTAATGAGTGTTGCAATATGCAATTTCCATACTAATTTACTGATGCTTTAAAACTTGTGATACCGCCAACCTTGTTAAATGGTTGGTAACTTCAGATCAGAATTTATTGGAAGTAGGTCCATGGTACTAATGTATTTATCCACAAATTTTCAAAAGAAAAAAAAAACAAGAAGAAACATAGAGTTTCAAAAAATGGGGCATCTACCAGTGTGGATAGAACATCATTTATATTGCAATAGTTTAATGCATCACTAGCCAATTTAAACCTTGAGCTATAACTGAAATTAAGTGACAGAGAGAAGTAAGCTCATTACCTTTTTTTTTGACTAATTTATTAGATGTTGCTAATTAGTAAAGCATTACTTCTTTCTGTACATGGAAAATATCTTAACAGCCTTTTAGTTTTTGGACAAAAAATTAACATGCAAAGAAATAAAGAGACACCAGCACGGTTGAAAGTATCAATACACCTCTGTGTATCAGCAGAGGTGTATCGGTACTTTAACCGATACGCCTTTTATTTATTTTTTAGTTCTTTTCTAAATTTTAATTTTAAGTATAAAGAGTACAGAGAGGAGGGGGAGAAGGGCAAGGAAGAAAGAGATATGAAGAAGGATGACACTGATCTGATGAAAGAAAAGGGAAAAAGTAGTGGGCAGGAGGATGTTTTTGCAGGAGGGAAGATACACGTGGAAGAGGACCAGCTGATGAATTTCGCCAATAGAATGGGTCTTAATCCAGAGAAAACAGATGAGGAGATTATTCAAAAAAAAAAGGCAGGAAAAAAGGGGGGGGGAAAAAGAATGAAAAAAAATGAAGGAAGTGGAGAAATTAATTAATGATGTTGAAGGGGACAAAGAGTTTAATGCTGGGGGGAAGGAGGAAAGGATGCTTTTAGGAAGAAAGGGTGTTTGGGTTTTTTCAGTTAGTTCAATGAAGATCATCAGCTGGAATGTTAGGGGGCTAGGAAGTCCCACAAAAAGGAGGTTGATTAAGGAGATGTTGAAGAAAGAAAAGCCAGATATAGTTCTGATCCAAGAATCCAAGACTCAGGAGGTTGATAGGAAGTGGATTAGGAGTTTGTGGGGAGAAAGAAATTGTCAATAGTGCTATGCACCAACTTGGGGTGCTTCAGGGGGAATCATAACAGACTGGAAGGAAGATATGTTTTCTTGTTGTGATGAGCTAGTGGGAAGATTTTAAGATGGTTTTGATTGGGTCCTTACCAATGTTTATGGGCCAAATTCCTATAGAGAAAGGAATATGATGTGGGAAGAATTAGCAGTTGTTAGAGGTCTATGGGAAGGCCCTTGGTGCTTAGGAGGGGATTTTAATGTGATAAGATATGTGGATGAATCGTCTGAGGAAGACAGAGAGTTACCTTGAGTATGAGGAAATTCAACAGCTTTATTGAGGACTTTGAATTAAGAGACTTCCGACTAGGTCAATCCTGTTTCACTTGGTCCAATCTCCAGGCTAACCTGTTTTTGCTATAGGTTTTTAACGTCTCCAAATTGGGAAGAACATTGGGAGGATTTGAGGGGAAAGTCATTACCCAGAGTCGCATCATATTATTGGCCAATCTGCTTGTTTCAAAGAACCATCGAAGGAGGCCCTTCTTCTTTCAGGTTTGAGAACATGTGGCTCACCCATCCGGATTTTAAGACAAAGGTGAAGGAGTAGTGGAATCCCTATGTGCCACAACCTATAATGGGAAGGGCAAAAGTTTTTGAGAAAGCTGCAAAAATTGAAAGGGGAAACTAAAGAATGGAACATGGTGAAGTTTGGAAGACTGGAAGAGAAAAAAGGCAGCCTGATTGCACAAATTGAGGAGATTGACAGGAAAGAGCTCCAAGGTGTGACAGAAGGTCATGACTCATGATAGAGAAAGAAGATGGTCTCTGAAGAAGGAATTAGAAGATACTTTGTTGAGAGATGAGACTAGTTGGAAGCAAAAATCGAGAGAGAGAGATTAAAGAAGGTGATGTCAACACTAAGTTCTTTCATGCCTTAGCAAATGGCAGAAAAAGGATGAACTCAATTTCTTCTTTAGGGGGGGGGGGGGGACTGAATTTACAGATCAAGTAGAATATGCTAAAACTTTTGTTGATCATTTCCTATCAATATTTGGTAGGCCAATCACTAATAGATGGGATTTGGGAGGATTGGAATGGGGGAGCTTGGAAGAGAATCAAGTGGAAGCCTTCGATAAGAGTTTTGAGGAAAATGAAGCTAAGCAAACCATTTTCTCTATGGATAGATCTAAGGCTCTTGGACCTGATGGTTTCACTATGGCCTTCTATCAAGATTGCTAAGAGATAATTAAGAATGATTTGATGAAAGCATTCAGGGAATTCCATATGGGGAGTAATCCATCCAGGGATGAACTCAGCTTTCTTAGCTTTGACCCCAAAGAAGCAAGGTGCCACCCAGCCAGGAGACTTCAGACCCATAAGCTTAGTGACTAGTATTTATAAGGTAATTGCCATGGTCCTTTCTCTGAGGCTTAAAAAAGTGCTCCCCTCTCTCTTCTTCCAATACCAAGGGGCCTTTGTCCAAGATAGACAAATTATTAATCAAATTCTAATTGCAAGTGAGTGTGTGGACTGGGATTTTTTTTATCACTAAAATGAGAAGGTGTGGTTTTTTTATCACTAAAAAGATTAAAGAGGAAAGGAGTGGCAATCAAGTTGGACCTCGAGAGAGCCTATGATCTTGTGGACTGGGATTTTTTTATCACTAAAATGAGAAGGTGTGGTTTTGGGGACTTATGGTGTAAGTGGATCAAAGGATGCATGCAAACAAGTCACTATTCTGTTCTAGTGAATGGCACTGCAGTTGATTTCATTGAAGGGACTAGAGGCCTTAGGCAAGGAGATCCACTCTCTCCCTTTCTCTTTACTTTGGTAGCTAAGGTCTTGAGTAAACTGATTTCAAAGGCTAAACTCTATGGAACTGATCAAAGGCTAGTCAGTAGGGAGAGATAGAGTTTTGGTCTCACACTTGCAGTTTGCATATGATACCTTGATTTTTTGTGAAGGGGAGAGCAAAGAAGATGTGGAAAACCTAAAATTAGTTGTGAACTTGTTTGAAAGGATCTCCAACTTGAGATAGGTCTTAGAATCTAGTGGCTAGCATCAATTTAGAAGAGAGTGAGTTCAGAGATTTGGCTGCATTGTTGGGTTGTGAGATTGGAGATTAGTCTTTGTGTTATCTGGGATTGCCCCTTGGTGGAAATCCTCGATCGGTCAATTTTTGGAACCCAGTAGTAGAAAGGTTTGAAAAAAGATTGGCAAGTTGGAAGAGGAATTATATTTCTTTGGGAGGGAGAAGAATCACATTGATCAATTCACCTTGGCGAATCTTCCAGTCTACTACATGTCGGTCTTTAGAATGTCCCAAGCTATGATAAGAAGAACTGAGAAAATTATGAGGGACTTTTTGTGGGAGCCTAGGGAAGGGAAAAAAGATCATTTTATTAGGTGAGAGAAGGTGAAGGAGTTTGGGAATTGGAAATGTGGCTCTATTGAGTAAATGGCTTTGGAGATTCCCCAAAGAAAATGAGAAATTGTGGACTAGAGTTATTTCAAAAGTATCCATAGGCAATCAAGCAACAGTTGGGATGTGGGCTGCTTGCAGAGAGCTACCTTGGCTACCCCTTGGAAGGCCATCCATGACATTCTTTCTTTGTTTCTTCCCCATATAAGGTATGACTTGGCTTTGGTCAGAAAATCATATTCTGGGAGGATATCTTGATTGGGTACTCCCCCTTGTTAAAGGTTTTCCCTTCCCTCTTTGCTCTTTTCAGACTCAAGGGTAAACCTATTAGTGAATTTATCATCTCATCTCTTCCTCTTCAAACTTGAGTTGGAATTTGGGTTTTACTAAAACTCCAAGAGAATCTGAAATTTCTAGTGTCTCTACCTTGGTTAACTTGTTGAATTCAGTGGTTTTGGGGGGTAGTGTTTCAAATTCTAGAGTTTGGGCCCTCAATTAGTCAAGTTCTTTTTCTTACAAATCTTTCTTTAACTTTCTTGTTGCCACTTCCTCCTCTCCTTTCCCTATCAAGGAGATTTGGTTTCGACCCATCCCTCCAAAATTCAATGCTTTCTGTTGGGAAGTTTTCCATGGTTCCATCAACACTTGTGACTTGCTTCAAAAAAAAAGACCAAAGTGGCGCTTGCCCCCAAACTAGTGCTCCGTATGCTCCATATGTAAGCTGAATGGTGAGACTACTTTTCATCTCTTTATCTCCTGTCGTTTTGCTAACTTTATTTGGGAGCGGTTTTCCTCTCTGTTTGGTTGCAGTTGGAATCCTCCTACTAATTTGGAAGATCTTTTTAGCTCCAACATATTCAGGTGCTCTAAAAGGAGAGGCAAAGTGATGGGAAAATGCACTAGAGCAGCAGTGGCTTGGACAATCTGGGAGGAAAGAAATATGAGGATATTTGATGATAAGGAAAGGGGTAGAGATGTTGTGATTGAAGTGATATCTATAAGGGTGCCACATTGGATGAAAACTTTGAAAATATTAGAAAATTTTAAGACAAAAGATTTCTTCAAATCATGGGGAACAATTGCAAACGTTGCTTCTAGAAGACCTATTGTAACTGAATTTTGGTCCCCTCTGGATGTTGGGTGGAAGAAACTAAACTTTGACGGTAGTTGTTTGGGAAACCCTGGCCCATCAGGCATTGGTGGGGTAATAAGGGAAGAGAATGGAAATATCATTGCCATGTTCTCAGGCCCTATCCAGCATGGTGATGTGGTTAATTCAGAACTGAAGGCAGCAGTATTTGGAGTTGAGAAAGCTAAAGAGTTGGGGATTAACAGGTTGATTATTGAA